TCTTATGGAAAAATATACTTGCGGAAGAAGGAAGGAAGCCCACAAATAAGAATTAATGAAGAAGCAGATCTTGCAAAGCTAAAGGAAGCCAACATATGACTATCATTTCAGTTTATAGTGTATATAATAAGAAAAATGTTTTTACTACTAATTATTCAAATAACGTATTGTACTAGCCCAGATTATTCATTTTTTTTATCTTGTTCTGTACACATTATCTTATTACTTTTTTAACTACTCTACACTTTACATGCTAATGATACTCCTTGATATTTATAACTCCATAACATACCACTACACACTTACACAATACACAACCATTACTTATAAAAATCTTATTTATATAGTTAATAACATTGCTCTCAACTTATTACTCTCTCTCATCAATTTAATATACTTAGTAGAACTATTTAAACTAGAACCTAAATGCCATATAATTTATAAAAATGGATGAAGATATAGGAGATGAACTTGATCAAATTTCTGTATCTGAATCTGCCATATGTGAAGTTGAGCAAACTAAACTATTGCTACATGGCCAACCCAATAGTATTATTATTATTACTCAAAATATTCGCAGTATCAATAAGAATTTTGACGGTTTCACAGTATTATTGAAAAGACTTGAGGTTGACTGTGGCATTATTATTCTGACCGAAAGCTGGCTTGGTTCTGATCCTTTATTGCCTAATTTACATGGATATAGTAGTCATGCAACAACAAAACATGCATTGCAGAATGACGGAATCGTGGTATATGCTAAATCTGATATCAACATTACTTTTGAAGAACCGACATTTCTAGAAGGAAACTGTCTTGTTATGAAACTCGGTCACGAAACTGCAATTATATCTATATATCGTTCGCCTTCATACTGCAAATTGGACTCTTTTAATCTCAATCTTAACGTTATTTTGTCAAATTTATCAACTTTTAAAAACATATCAATTATAGGTGACCTAAACATAGACATTAGACCAGAAAATAGAGATAAAAGAGCTCACGATTATCTTAATCTTTGTGCTAGCCATGGTTTATTACCTGCCCACACTTGTCCAACAAGAGAAAATAAAACGTGTCTCGACCACGTCTTGCTCAAAACAAAAAAAGCCAGCTCTTACATTGGTGATTACTTCTACATTAACTGACCATCAAGCAGTACTCCTGTGCTTAAATCAGAATGAAATTAAAAAGTCCTCTTTAAAACATAGAACTAAATTAAATCATGAAGGATTACTTGCGGACATGGGTAATATAGACTTTGAAATAATATATAAGTCAAATGACGCTAACTTTTGTACAGAATTTTAGTTACATCTTTAAAAACTGCAATAGAACAAAATACAAGCATAGTATTTACATCTAGTCGATTAAAAAACATTAAGCCATGGATAACCCCCGGCCTAATAAGATGTATGCGTAATAGGGATCAAATGCATCTGAAAGTAAAACGTGCACCAGAAAATATAGTACTTAAACTTACATATACACGATACAGAAATTATTGCAATAGTCTATTAAAAAAGCTTAAAAGAGAGCATGAGAAAACTCAATAAGAATTAGCGGGTAAAGACAGTAAAAAAGTGTGGGAAGCCATTAAAATTATTACACACACATCTAAGCAGAAATCATCGTCTCAGGAATTACTGAAAACTGACTGTATTAAAGACTCCTTAAATAGTATTAATAATTTCTTTGCAACTGTTGGGAAAAACATCGCAGTAAAAAAATATTGTAGAAAAACAAGAATTATCACAAATTAACCTTGATACAACAAGAGAATCGTTTGTATTATTATCTACTGATGTGGACGAAGTAGAACGAATTATAATAAATTTAAAATCAAAATGTACAGTTGGTTGGGACAAAATCTCTAATAACTTTCTAAAAAACTTTTCGACATATCCTAATCCCACCATTAACTTATATCTTTAATTTATGTTTCGTGAACGGAATATTCCCTAATTATTTTAAAACATATCATCACCCCATATATAAATCTGGAGATAGAGACCATGTGAATAATTATAGGCCTATTTCTATACTTCCTTCTATTTCAAAAGTATTGGAAAATGTTATTAATATCAGACTTGTAAAATACCTAGAGAACTTTAATATTCTATCAAACTGTCAATTCGGGTTTAGATCCGGAAAATCTACCAATGATGCAGTACATGAATTAACCGATAATATCATCAAAAATCTAGACAAAGGCAATAAAACGGTAGGGATTTTTCTGGACCTTGCCAAAGCGTTCGACACGGTCTCTATCCCCGTTCTGCTAAGGAAACTTGAAAAAATTGGTATACGGGGTACACAACTAAAATTATTTGAAAGCTATCTAACTGGAAGACTACAATGTGTTACAATAAATAACCAGTATAGTTCTGATGTATCTGTTAGCTACGGAGTTCCTCAGGGGAGTATTCTGGGCCCAATTCTATTTCTCGTCTACAAAAATGACCTCTTAAAACTTAAATCCTTCCATGGCAAAATCATATCATATGCTGATGACACAGCACTCCTATTCTCAGCAAGTACATGGAAGGAGGCTTTTGATAACGCTCAAACTGGAATTGATGTTGTCTCAGTATGGTTACGTAATAACCACCTATCTCTTGATATTGAAAAAACTAAATATATTACCTTTTCCATGACAATTGATCCTCAATCAACTATCAACTATAAGTTAACTGCTCACATTTGTTTAAATTTAATAAAACCTTTAGGATTACCGTGTACCTGCCCATCTTTGTCCAAAACCAACTGTGTTAAATATTTAGGTATTCTTATTGATAATCAACTGAATTTTAAAGATCATTTAGAAGTTTTAACGTCCCGAGTTCGAAAGCTTATTTATGTCTTTAAAATTCTGAGGCATGTAGCTAAACCTGAACTACTGAAACAAATATACACTGCATTGTGTCAATCCATTATAACTTACGGTATAACAATATGGGGCGGAGCCCCAAAAAATTACTTTAGCTCCACTGGAAAGAGCTCAGAGAGCTGTTTTAAAGGTTTGTACTTTTCTACCCATTCTCTATCCAACATATGAACTATATGAACACTCCCAAGTATTAACAGTCCGACAATTATACATTTATCTCACAATTTTAAAGCAACATGGGTTATTAAATTTTACCTCATCTCAATTAATAAAGAGAAGATCCGACAAAGTGTGCCTTACTACTACCTTTAAACATTGGTATGCACACAAATATTTTTGTTTTCTTGGTCCATTCTTGTACAATAATATAAATAAGCAACTAAATTTATACATTTTAAATAAGAATCAATGTAAAAAAACCCTATTCAAATGGCTCCAAAAACAAGATTATGACGAAACAGAAGTATTATTGAAATCCCTAAATAACTGATTTACTTCTATAATGTGTAATTAATATACCATTAAATTATATTTTCTAATTATAATTATTACTTTAATGTATACTACTCACCCTCTCCCCTCGCATACACACACACACACACACACACGCACACACGCACACACACACACACACACACACACACACACACATACACACACACACACACACACACACACACACACACACACACACACATTAGCACGCACCTACATACGAGAGGAACAATTTACGCACAAAAATATATTTAGTTATATACGTAGGTTTAATTTTCATACTTTATATAATATTATTGTTTGATATAATATGTTTACGTAAGTTTCTTAATCAGAAAGATTTCTGTTGAATTGTCCCATAAGAAAGAGCACTGTTGCCTGAGATACAAGCTTATTGCTTAGTTCAGGCGCAGATGCAAATATATATTGTTAAAATTTTTCCTGAATAAAGAAATTATTATTATTATATTATTATTATTATTTAAGTAATAAAAATTGCATGCAAGGGATACACAAAGAGTTACCTTACATACTTTGCACATCAACTCTGACCGTTTTTCTTCTTTTCAAGTGCTACAGAATCTGCACCTTTTACATGATGATGGTTCCAAATAATGCTGTCCGATGCGACCTAATCTTATTTCATCAGGTACACCAAAGATACCCCCTTTTTATTTTTGAAAACCATAGGGTTATGCTTTTGGATATTTATGTAACCAGACTTCAAGCTCCTGGCCAATCTCAAACGGAAGTCTCTGTGTATATTTTGGCTTGTTTCGTTTTTATGTTTGTATAAGATATATGAATTTATAACAGCGCACTCGAATAAAAACCAAAAAAGTCTTAACCACGACTTTTTTGATTTCCGTCGAATCGAATATGAGCTCCGGAAGTGGTCGAAATTGTCTACACCACCCATGTTTCGAGTGTACTCTACAATGGCAGACGGGAAGTACATGTTTTTCTTCTCACCATTCTTTTGTCTACTTTCTATAATTTCTATGTCTCTAGGGTTTACTGCCGATGTTATCACATGGACATCTTTTATATCCTTCAACTTTATTACACCAATGGTGTGGCAAAATCGGTATGTAAATTCACCTGGTTTTAATTTATCAGCAAAATCTTTGGGAAGCCATTTTCGTGTCATTCGAACAGTACCTATGAAGAATATTCCCTTATTGTAAAGGTATTCAACAAGAGCTACAGAAGAAAAAAGATGTCAAAGGCTAATAGCGTATTTCTCGGTACGTTAACAAACAATTTTTGACAACCCTAAACCCCAGACCTTCTTCATTGGGTTCATTATCTTTACCAGAGTAAATGTCGCACTGGTAAAGATATCCAGTCTTTGCGTCGCATCTACATCATGCTTTATAACCTATTTTAATGGGCTTAAGGGGCATGTATTGTTTTTTTGCTGTCACGCCCTTTAAATTTACCCATGATCTCGTCTATAGATTGAGCCTGAGAGTTGGTAGCATTTTCTTGGAATGCTTTATTTAGAAGCATTAACATTGGTCTTATTTTTTGGAGTTTATAATAATCTTTATGACTTTGCGGCAAATGGGTAGTTATATCGCAAACGTGAATATTTTCTATCTTTTTAAATTTTTTACAAGTCATTGTTCCAGATATCTCTGGGTTTGCTATTTTTTAGTCTTGCATATTTGTTGGTATTATTCACAATAACTTGAAATAATTCGTCTGGAAACATATTATTGAAATAGTCAATAGGAGGGCTTTTGTGATCATAAAATTTTGTAGATTGCAGTTCTCCGTTAAAATGGTGAGTTGTAAAGTTCTCAATCTGAGTAGTCCACTCTCTCCGTTTAGACTGTAATTCAACATAAGTTGGCTCTTCAGGTATTTTCTTAAACTCAGGATTATGTAAGATACCATCACCAGCAGTAGCAGTTTCATTTTCAGGTAAGCTAGAATAAAGGTCAGGAGTTTGTGCATGTGTTGATGGATGCTGGGAAGGACCTGCGCTGTCATAATGAGAGAGTACATCCATGTCTTCATTTTCATGCAAGTTATGAATAAGCTCAGGAGTTGCGCGTGTTGGTGGATGCTAGAAAGGACCAGCCCTGAAACCGTGTGGGAGTTCTTCCAGGTCACTTTCTTCACTCACTTCACTCTTCAAGCTACACATAGTATTATGTGCTTGTTTATAAAACCTCAAATAACAATAAAACGGCTTACCGTTCAAGATTCCAATGAACAATCCCGTAATAGCAGTGGTAATCCCGTCCTGCATGTCCCGCATTCCATATAGAAGCTTACTATGCAACTTTTTTAACGGAGATTTTAAACTTAACTTGCTAAAATCTACATGTAGTGGCAGTGTAAAAATTGATAAAAAAACCCCAATAACTGTTTTTGGCTTGACCCGGGATTCGAAATTAGGATCTCATAATTAGCAACCGCGTTTACGACCACTAGACCAATAAGGCAGTCATTGCCCAACTATATTATGAACTGACTCTACACCTGGTAAGACGTGTAGAAAATCATTGAATACAGCTGGCTCTGGTGTATTATTGAACGGTGGGCCTATGAAAGTATTGATTATGATCATCATAATCATAAAAGGGTTTAAAAATATAGCGTTATAATCCAAAATCCTACATCTCATTAGAATTTTTGATTTAAAAAAGACAACGATACAGCGCCCTGCAACTTGACCCTAGTCACACCAACAGACAATTTACGATCGGTCGGTACTTTTGATGTACATTAAACTAAGTGCGAATGTGTGTTTAAGTATATTTGGACAGTTCAAGTGAATGTAAACTTCAAATATTTGAGGATAAATAATTTAAAATAAAACCTGTTGACTTCCCGCTATGTTTTATCTTAAAACGTTTGAAAAATATTGTTACGAACTAATAGTTAACTCATTACATCAAAATCGATCCGAGCAGAAATTTCTAAATTAAAAAAAACACTTTTTTTGAAAAGTTTGACAACGATGACCATCGAACGGATTGTGATGTAATTGGTGGCAATCGACGAGGTATTTTATGAATAATAATAAAAGTTATTATAAAAACGATTAGACTATAAATTCAAAAGTTACGTGAAAAAAAAAACACTTTTCTGAAATTTTTCGTCATCGATTTCTTTTCAACACTTTAACCAATTTTGAAGCGGTTTACAGCTATTGGCGTCGTTTTCGTTGCTTAGGAGCTGATTAGATTTTGAAATTGATCGATACATCTAATTAAAAGTTATTCCAAAAAAAATTTTTGTGAGATTTCTCCAAATTAACCGGTAATAATCGAATAACCGACCGATATTTAAATGGTGAATCTCACCATCATCCTTCACAGTTAGCTACCGTGGGTAAATCTTTGTTTCAGAGAGCACGAGGGATCTGTGACAGAAAAACATCTGGCCGCGGAGCTTCTGCACGTCAAGCAAGTATTGCAAGACAACAAGCTTCGGGTTCCGCGCCTACGTCACAGTGAACGAGTGAAGCCGGCCACAGTCGAGCGCGCGCCTGCTCTACTACCACATGTTAGAGGAGTCACGGACAAGATTGGCTACATCTTGAAGCGAGCGTCTATTAAGACATACTACAAGCCGCTGAAGAAGATTAGTCAATTTTTACCATCCATCAAATGTAATATTCCTCTACAAGATGCAGGTGTGTACAAGCTAGATTGTGAATGTGGTCTCTCTTACATAGGTCAAACAAAGAGATCTAAATCAAAAATCTAAACCCGCGTGAAGGAACATATAGCTGATGTGAAGCACCGACGCTCCGGGAAGTCTGCAGTCTGCGAACATGTTCAAGATCGTCCCCACCATTACATTAGATTTGATAAACCACAAATTCTCGCAAAAGAACACCGATTCCTACCAAGGATGATACGCGAGGCTATTGAAATTAAAAAACATCCAAATTTCAATAGAGAAGATGGTTGGGTGCTACCATCTGCTTGGGATCCTATAATTAACAAAATTAAACCCAAACCCAAGCATACCACTGCAAGACTTCATGATACTATAAGCTCGTTTTGCGTAAATCGGACCAAAATTTAATATTAAAAAACTGAAGGTAGCCGGACTAACTATGACATTGGGACGTCAAACATCTCAGTCCCCCCCCGTGACCATGGGCGCTGTAAAGCACCCGAAACGTCGGGATAATAATAAAAATAAATTAAAGTAATTAAACGCGATAAAATCCGTAAATAATAGTTTTATTCAATGTGTAGTGTTCGCGTAAATTTAAGAAATCATTACGGTAATAATCGGTTAAAATAATATTGAAAACACACTCACACGTACACACATACACAGGCGCGCGCGTGCACGCACGCACACTCATACGTACACCAACACACACACACGAACACACCACACGCACACACACGCATACGCAAACGCACATACACACGCAATTGAAGTGAATATTAGGCATATCGGTCTGCAATCGATTACTTGAATTTTTGTTTTTACTTTAATTTGTTGGAATATTATTATATTTTGTATTTTCTGTTATTGTTTTGTAGATACTCGTATCTTCGCAATTTTCTTATCTCCTTAGTTTACATAGAAAAATAATCGAAAATTGGTATTAAAATGCTCAATTTAATCGATTCACATTCTCATAATCGTTATCTCCGTTCTGCGGAAAAATCTAATCTCCACGCCCCCCTCTGTCACACAAGCTTCTTGTATAAATCTTTTACGTCTCACGCGGTAAGATTGTGGAACGAGCTACCGATCAGTGCACGTGCAGCCACGAGCAAGGCATCGTTCAAACGCTTGCTATGGAATCATTTTCTGGCGTTGCGGGAGTATTTTATCGATTAAATTTTTTATCTCTGCACTACTCTAAGGTAGACTGGTAGATAATGCCTCAGGCATTAAGTCCGCCTATATACATCTAATGTGTATATGAAGTTAAATAAATAAATAAATAAATTAAAAAATTTTATATCCTTAAATTCTAACTGCTCCCTTTTCCTGTTTTTATTTCAAATATTTTATAGATATTTGAATCAGAAACAGCTATATTTAATTATGTATGTACTATATATATATATATGATTACGCTGATCTTCAATTTCTTCAGGATTTGAAGTACAATGAAACTCCGCGATAGGATATAGTAGTACATTTAATGAGTAAATACAATAAATTCATTTGACACTAGTTGTCGGGTACAGAGCTCAGAGCGTAATGTCGCGCCCGGCCAGTTCCTGACGATGAGAGACGTCACTGTCGGCCGCGTTCAAGCATGGAGATTAAACATTCTCCCACCCCCCTCAAAGTCTTCAGGAATTTGAGGTGCTTCTGCTGTGGCTGAACTTGCCAAAGGGCACAGGTTGTGGACGACACGGCGCACAATGCCATTCGTCATGTAGACATCTGCAACTCGTACAATTCCATCAGAACCAGGATGTAATTTATGTATTCGCGCCATACGCCATTTCAAAAGTGGTACATTAGCCTCTTTTATAATTGCTAAATCCCCTTCCTGAAATCCTCGTTGATTGATCTGCCATTTGTATCTTTGTTGTAATTCGCTCAAGTATTCTTTTCGCCAGCGTTCCCAGAAGTGTTGACGCAGTTTTTCAAGGCATCGGTACCTATCAAGTCTATTTAAATTAATGTCTAATAAGCTTTTCGATGGTAGCGATGTAAGTGGCCTGCCGATCAAGAAGTGCGCTGGTGTTAAAGGATTAAGGTCATTGGGGTCTGAGGAAAGCGGGGTTAATGGCCTAGAATTAAGGATTGCCTCAATTTGCGCAAATAAAGTAGATAACTCCTCAAAGGTAAGATGTTTGTCGCCTAATATTCTAGTTGCGTGGTACTTTGCATATTTGACACCTGCTTCCCAAAGTCCGCCAAAATGCGGAGAATACGCAGGTGAAAATTTAAATTGTACACCTTCGTCAGCAGCAAAACCAGATATGCTTTCACAGTTCAATTTTAAAAATTTTGTAATTTCATTATTTGCACCGACAAAATTTTTACCATTATCACAATATAATTTAAGAGGCTTTCCTCTTCGGGATATAAAACGTCTTAAACATAATATTATAAAAATATCGGTAGTTAGATCGCTTGCTACTTCAAGATGCAAGGCCTTTGTAGTGAAACAAATAAATAAACATAAGTAACATTTTGTTATTTTGCAACCGCGACCTTTACGGTCAGTAATAAAAAATGGCCCAGCAAATTCCACCCCGCTTATGTGAAAGGGAGGATTTGGAATGACTCTAGTAGCAGGCAAATTATCCATTATAGGATTAAAACACTTCGCCTTTATTATTTTACACAGCTGGCAGTTGTTGACAGTTGATCTTGCCGATATTCTACCTCTTAAAGGCCAAAATTTGTTTCTTATATCGTTAAGTAAAAATTATGGTCCACAATGTAAAAGTTTTTTATGATAATGAACAAATAGCAATTTACAAAAGGCATTTTTCGTTTCTAATAAAATTGGATATTTTCTTTCGTATATTTCATTAGAGTTTTGAGTACGGCCACCAACGCGAATTATTTCCCGTGCGTCTAGAAATGGACTTAACGCCAATAAGCGGGACTTAGATGGTAAGTTTCCCTTAATTTTTAAAACCTTAATTTCATCTGTAAAGCATTCGTTCTGATGTTGTTTTATTAAGATTTCTAAAGATGACTCTAATTCGCTGATTGTTAAGGGACCAGTGAATTTGTGATGTTTATGTTGTGAATTGTGTATAAAACGTAGAACGTAAACTAAACATCTTTGTAATGTTGTGAATCTTGAATATCTTTAAACATTTACTATCATAGACTTGCTAAGAGTTAAAGTAGTATTTGATGAACATTTAGATTGTCGTGCTGTTGTAGGTTGGAGTGTAGTTGTAGACTGTAGTGTAGTTGTAGTGATTTAGTATAAGCTATCCTTTCAGGTAAACAAGAAATATTTTTATATTAACATTTTTGGGCCAATTACATGAATTCTCGGTTGCAAACGACGGTCCTTGCCACCAAAGCGTGGCAGAATTAATTAAT